AGCCAGGAGAAAGATAAATACTGGATAGTTTCTCTTTTGTGTGGAATATAGAGAAACCAAATGAAAGGTCAAAGACCAGCTTCAAAACCAAGCCTTGAAAGCTAATCATAGATCTGAGACATCCAGGAGGGGAGGAAGAAGGTGGAGACTGTAGGGCGTGGGGAGAGCACAATGGACTACCACAGAGGACTATGGGCGCTTTGGTGGTGGGGGAGCTATGGTGGCCATACTTGAGGGGAGAAAGCCTGTACTGTCAAAAAGTTAACAAGGATGTAAAACAATGGGACTTAATTAAAATAAATAATGAAATTCTACAGAGTACCAACCATTAAATAATACTCAGAGGAGTCCAGTGAACTGAGGAATGACTGAGGAAATATAAGGGAAGTTAGGAAATTATGGCTATCCTTGGAACTCAAATGAGGACAATTTTTTAAATTCATGAAAAAAAATCAAATGAGAGATATGCCATAAATATTCATTGATACGAAGGACCAGTCACCTTTAATAATGTTCAACAGTAGAAGAAGATGTGAATTGGAGTTTGTAGAGAAACAGATGAGAAACAAAGAAGAGAAGGCTAAATATGGATAATTCATCCCAGAATTTTCATTAAGGTGTAGCTGGGTGTGATATCCAAGAGCATATATAATCTCCCTGGTGCTAGAAATGTGCCCTCTCCAATACATGTATACCTAGGCCCTGTAAGTGCCAAAGAAGCAGATAGGTTTGCTTAAGTGCCTCATATCCTGCTGGTAAGTTGGCTACTTGTATATCACGTAGCCATTCCTTCATGCACAAGACATGTCACTAGAAGTGAAAATACTGAACTGTACTGCATCTGACAACCAGTTTGAAGGACTCTGCAGTTGAATTGATTGCTAGTTCTGTGTAAGACCATCCCTGGCTGCCCATCTGTTCATAATAGTAGAAAAGTGTCTCTGAGATAGTATGTTCCTGTGCAGGAGAGGCTTTTGGGAAGCAATTTGAATTTTGAATAAATGATCTCTGAGGAAGTCCATTTTGGACATGGCTGAGTTGACTAGCTATGTCTTGCATGGGTGCCAAAAAGAAATTAATTTAAAAAGGAGAGTTCAGAAACATCACTTGTTATTTCAATTTACTCATATATATTTCCTCTTTAGTAGCTTTTATGTCAGGCACTGTCCCCAGGTAATAGGCAGACAGAATCCATCTGTAACTGATACCACAGTAAACAATATAGACAAAAATCTGTGCCTTTAAGGTGCTTACCTTTTAATGAGGAAAGGGGGAACCATAATAAACAAAATGAATAAGTAAAACATATGGTAGGTGGTGAAGGACCTCTGGGAAAAGAATAAATAAAGCAGGGTAGGGGTATTGGAGGTTTTTGGAGGGAGAAGATGAAAACTAGTCAGTGAGAGCTGTGATGTCTTTACATTTGAGTAAAGACCTAAAGTTGAGGGAGTAATCCAAAGTGCTACCTGGAGAAAGAGTATTTCAGGCAAAGAAAAAAGAAGAATATATGAATTGGGCGAGGACCTGGCATCTTCTTAGACTATAAAGGAGCACAAGGTGACTGGAGAGAAAGAGAAAGAGAAAAAGAAAATCAGAGAGATAAAATCAGAGATATGGAAGAGCATATTGTAGACCCTGGCCATTTGAAAGACTGTATTGAGTTATTTTGAACAGGAATAACTGATTCTGGAGTCCTAAGAGACTATGGAAAACAGGTATCTTAAAATCTTGAAGAATAATGAAGCCTTGCCCTATCATTCTACTCTTCTTTTTGAAAGAAGTGTTTCTGCAAATGAACCTCCCATATCCTCTTGGTCACATCATAGGAACCTTTCTTTCTTGAAGACTAGAAAAATTCACGGTGCACTTCTCTGGAAGTAAAGATACTTCTATCAGGAAAGGTTCATAGTAAGAACAATGTGGCAATTTGGAAGAACCATTCCAAAGCTTCAGGAAAGAATAATGCACTGAAAACATCAGGTTTTGTAGGTGCATTACTATGAAAAACAGTTTTCACATGACATTTGTAAGATATTCCAAGGCCTTCACTTCCTTACAACTAAAATACTATCCAATAAATATAATCGACTAAAACAGAATATGGTTATTTGGGTAAAGAAAGAGAATAAACACTGTAAAAAAAAAAGCTATCTATGTTCCTTCCGTAGATAGCTTTTTTTTATATAAGAATCATAGATAGCTATATATATAACATCCGTATTATTGGGATAGGCTTGGGGTAATGTCTTGGATATTCCAGAAGTGATCTTTTCAATTAAGGTTTATGTATTTCATAAGTTTATAGATAAAGAATGAATACTTCTAGAAAAAAAGGATTTAACAGCACTAAATAAATAGTGGCCTCACCTATCAAAATAAGAATATGGTTTTATATAGATGTAGTCACAGGTCTGGAAACCTGGGTTTTCATCCTGACCTTGTCATTAACTGGAACTTTCTTATTTAATGAAATTACTTTTATGATCTACTATTTACTGGATTTTAGTTTTCTTACTTGTATAGACAATAACAAACTTTTCTTGTTAAGGAGAATCATGAAAGAAGTGTTTCTGCAAATGAACCTCCCATATCCTCTTGGATATGGCCAGAGTTGAATGGAGGTTCTCTATCAAGTTCCATACTTAGTAATTCATTAGGATTACCTTACTCAGAGATGTGAATTACACAATATTGTACCCCAATCACTTTTTATCCCCATAGACATTATAAATAGATCACAGTAGTTTTCCCTATTGCATCAGAATTCAGGGTTCATAAGAAGCCTTCCCCCATTTTTGGCATAGTATCTAATGCAATCACTATCAAATAATTAGAGCTGGCACTCATGTTGAAATAATTTTCTGTCTTATCACTAGGGGAATGACTATAGTGGAGTCAAGTGTTCCTACTATAGCTAAGAGGAGCACTTACATCTTGTTAGTCAATTTATCCTATCCCTAAAGGGTTCTAACATGTCATCAATTCTGCTGTCAAAAGCAGTCACTTATACCCTGGGCATAACCAAAATGAATCAATTACCTTTTCAGTCAAAGAGGCCTGAATATATAGATTTAATTTTTCATCTTAAAACCCATTTCTATCTTGAGAAGTGTGCTTTCTATAAAGGAAACAAACGCAGGCATTCAACAAGTAGAAAAATCAGTGAATCTTCTTCCGCCTGACCACACAATTTCTTATTACCCAAATCCACAAGAGCTTGGATAAAAAATCTGATTGTTCCAGTTCTAATGAAAAACCTTAACAATGTTATTAGATAACTGTGAAAAATTTTAATTTGTTGACAGCTTGTGACCCACAACTTGCTGTTTAAAATTAAAATGCATTCAAAATGAAACTAGAAAGGCAACTACAATATTAAACTTCCAGCATGCTGTGAAAAAACACCTATTGAAAGCACCATATTAAAAATGAATATAATTAATGTTACACAGCATTTTGCAACTGAAATCTAAAACAGATCTCTTTAATGCATTGCCTTATTAAATCCAAATTGGTTGAATAATCTTTTACGTTTTTTACAAATTACAAAGTCAATGCAGAAGTGGATTGGTTTGTCTTTGGTAATATACACTTTGGCAGAGCTCCAGATATAATGTAGACTTCTAGAGTTCTCCCTGATGAATAAAATCTCTCTATTTTCCCCATCCCAAATGTTCACCTCAGCAAATTTAGCAATGTTTTCCACCTGCTAAAATTTAAGTTTACTTATAGCTTTTAAACTATCATTAATCAAGATGCATTGAATATGATGTCTAAATTTGTTTATGTGTTCATTTTTAAAAAGAACTACACTGATATTTTTGGTAGATTATCTAAATCATTTCTAAACCTGATAAGAATTGAGGTCTTTTTAAAAAAATATATGTTCGTATCAGTGCTTCAGTGCTACATTAAATGATAATGTATATAAAACTCAATAGGATATGTTTTTTATCCCACATTTCAACATTAAAGATTATATTTGTAATAAAAGGATTCACTGAAGATGTTTGCAAATAACTTAATGACCAAGTCACAGCTATTTTCTAGTTTTCTAAAGGTGCCAAAAAAAACTATTAAAATTTCCGCAATGTAACATCATAATTGTAGCAATTAACGTATGTAGTTAATTGCAGCCTTAATGTTCCTGTACAATACTTGTTGAAGAAAATCACAATACATTAAAATAGCATTAGCTGCAAATACTAAAGTATAACATTTCACTCTCCTTATACATACTCAGAAAAAGATTCACCCAATCTTTTAAAAAGATATCAGGAGAACTGTAATTTCACAATTACTTTTATTCATTATCCCTGCAACATATAGTACATACTCAATAAATGTTAGTTGAATGAATGAATGAGTGTGTGTGATTGAACAACAAACACACTCAGGGAAAACACCTATGTTTGGTTGCTACAGGACTACTGCATGGACAACTGCTGTCGCAGTAGTGTTCCTAAAATCTCTGCCATATTCTATTTTTGTCCATGTGTGTGAAAAAAATGATAAAGATTCAGTCCAGCAAGTGAATACTTGCATTACATAGAAGCCGGACGTATCCTAAAGGCAGGGGCTCTAGTGACATAACATATAAAATTCCCCAGGTACTTCCTAAGGTTTTCTTCCATATGAAACTTGATACTGGTTCTGATAGCAAATACATTTATATTTTGGAGCAGTGTCACTGTCATCTTGACTAGACCTCATCAGATCTCTCCCAGGGTCAGTGGCTACCCCAGGGTTGTCAGCTTTGAAACTGATTGGATTTTTGTGTGGTGCTCTCAGGTGCTGATCATGGTGCTGAAATAGAAGAGAGGGTCCTATTTTAAACCTTTCCTTCCTCTGATTGGTTTAGAAATTCGAGCGACAAGAGAAGGGGCCAAAGGGGTCTCATTAATGTGAACCAAGAATTTCGAGCATTTGGGCGGAAATGTGGTCCATCAGGTTACAGCCAAAGCATCCCTGTGAGCCCTCTCTAAAGCGAGAGACCTTACGGATGTAGCTGCTGCAGTAGAAGGTTACATCCAGTAGAATGTCTTGCCTCTCTCCTGAAAAACTGGCAGTCAAGTGCATAGCCTAGAAACAGGATCGGGGAGTCTAGATGCAGGGGAGGGGAAGGGAAGCAAACCTGTATTCATGTGGAAAATGCTCACTGTTATTTGTGTGAGATAAGGAAAAACCAAGGGCTGATTTTTACCTTAAGTTTTGGACCTCAGTCCTCCAACAGGTGTACGACTTTCACCCTTTCCCTGTCAGCACTGTCCTGCTTTGCCTCTCTAAGGCTTTCTTTGCGAGGCAAGCTTTTCCTAGAGTCCTTAAGCATGTGCAGTTTCCCATCTCATCCACAGCTCCAGTTCTACGCACAGCAACCCCTTCCTTACCTGCAGCGTGAAGATTAAGAAGGAGGCACAGCGCAGGGAAGATGACTGCTCTCCGCATAATGTTTGCATTGAGAGGCGGAGGACAAACTCCACCACGACCCCACTTCAGGTAAAGTGTTATTAGAAAGAGCCGCCAGCAAGGATCCTCTGGTCTCCGAGATGCATTCGCAGGTCCTCCGCTTGGGTTTGCAGAGCGGTCTGTGGCGCCTACAGAAATAAGCACCAGCTCCGCGCCCCCGGAGAGAGCGGGGCGAGCCAGAGGAGGCGGAGAAGGGAGGGGGCCCCAGCGTTCAGAAGCGGCTAAAGCTTGGCCTTTCTGGAAGCCCCGCAGTGGCAGCGGAGAAAGCGGGGTGGACTCAGGTTCCAGCCCTGGAGCCGGGCTGCTTGGCAGGCGGTACAGTGGTAGCAGCCGGGGACGCGCGGCGGCTACTGAGCATGCCCAGCGCTGGTCCTCACGCGGCAGGGGCGCTTCAAAGTGCAATTCCACTTCGGGTCTTAGCGGCTACTGCGAGGGGAGCAGGCTCAGCTGTGGGGCGTTGGAGGGGGAGCGGTGGGGGGCTTTTTGGAGAGGTTATTAGTGATAAAAAGTCTGTCAAAAACCTGTGGGTGGAGTGCGTGGAGCTAGATGAGGGCCTGGCCAGAGCAAGCAGATAGCCTAAGACAGGGTCAAGCTCACAACCACCTTGCTCCTCAGAATCTTGGTTACACGTGGACAGAATCCACTGCTGGGAGTTGACCTCTGCTGAACCCTGAAGGATGAGCTTCTCAGGGATGCCTTTAGAAATGTAGTATAGGTGTGTTCTGCTGCTGAGCATCCTGCCTCACCTGGGGAAGCTTTCCCATGCAGCCTGCTTGGTGTAGAGAGTAAATGGCATCCTGGGGGTGCTTCTTTTTAACGGATTTTGGTTTTCTCCTCCTCTTTTCTGGTCCACACCCACATTTAAACTTTCTCCTTAGTCAAGACCAAAGTCTATAACCATGGTAACGGAAAGAATGGAAGTCATACTTTTATACAGACTATATCCATGTAGCTGAAGAAAAGAAGGCACCTTTTTGCTTTATGGAGATAAAATTGTTTTTAGTCTTTATTTTACTTTCCAAGGTGAAGAGTAATAGACTCATGTGTGTAACTGGGGTTCTCTGGTCCAGCTCTTCCTCTCTAGGCAGACTGCAATGGTCTAATATAAATGACTCTTACCTCACTAGCTCACCCCCATCTAAGACTTTGGAGTGTGGAGCCCTTGTATTAGACTGATGCTAAATACTCCTAGTCGTAAAGCCCTCAGCCAGATTTCTCTTGCTTAACTATCCCAGGAGCACTGATCTTTGCCCCTCAAAGTCTTTATGGGATGTCATTGTCTCTTCTCGGGTTGCCTCCACCTGCTTCACCCCCACATTCAAGCTTACAAATGTTTAACCTTGCTCTCACTTTTCCAGAAAACCCTGGCCTCACTCCAGATTACAGTGATATTTCTCTTCCACACATGAATGCATACACGAAACTCAGACCTCATTTTTTTTAAAAAAAGATACTTATTTGACTGTGGCCTTTCTTACAACACAATTGTAGCTTCACAGAACTTCTGCATCTTTCTATCACTTAAATTGAATGAAGCCATCCTAAGCAAATACAAGATTCAAACAAGTGTTTATTCTATTGTACTGCATATTTCATTCAATGTATTCTTCACCTACTATGATTAGAACAACTCATAGGAAATAGGCTACCCACAGGAGTTTAAATTAGGCAGGATTTCATAGGATCTGAGAGCCCAGACAGTATCATTTCTTTTATAATTTGTTTTATTGCCAGCACTGACAGACAAGGCCAGGAAATGCACTCCAACAGGTAAGAGAAAGGAAGGATGAGAAGTATTTTTAATACCTTGACTGCTCTTCTAGGCTGAAAATAAATTTTATTCATTTTCCTTCCCCTCTTCTCTGTCCCCCACATGGGTATGTGATGCACCATTTTTTTTTATAGAGGCATGTTTTTATTTATTTATTTGTTTGTTTGTTTGTTTTGTTTGTTTTGTTTATACATGCACTGGGTACAGTCAGAAGTGCGGGAGGGTGAGAGAATTCACCAGAGCCAGAGTGGGGAGCAGAGCAGGCAGAAGGACCAAAGTACACTGCTGAGGGGAGCAGCGGGCAGCAGGAGAGGTCTGCACGCCATGCAGGACCCTCCTCCGGTGGCCGGGGAGCAGCCGGGGATGGAACCAGCACCGCAGAGGCTGCGGGCAGCTTCGCAACCCAGTGCTCAACCGCTGCGCCACCGGGGAGGCCCGTGATGCACCATTTTGGTGGCTCTGCCACTTGAGCCCAAATTACTTCAAGCTCAACCTATTCCCCTATATCCTTTTTCTGCAATATATACTACTTTTTAACATACCAAAAGAATTAGTTATTAAATATGCCATTTATTGTGTGTGTCCTTACCCTCTGAAGTCCTCTACAATCGACTTCAACCTATAACAACCAAGATCATGGCCATTTTATTCACTGATGTATCCCAACCAACTCAAACAGTGCTCCCACAAAACAGGTGTTCAACAAATTAGTAAATTTTGATAAAGTTTAATATTGATTATTAGCATAGGTCTTTGGAATTCTTACAGAATAGTTATTTGAGACAATTTATTGAACTATGTCTAAAACTTAGAGGATCAACCCCTTTCATCTAATGTCTGGTACAAGAGTGGATGCAGACCTGGGAGTCAGAGTGGGGATAATATTAGCCAATTTACAATGGTTATGAGTCCCTTATTTTCTTCCTCCCTGCAAAAAAAAACCAAACCATCAAGGAAAACCATTAAGTCAGCAAATTTTCACAGATCTTCAAGAAGAAAAGTCACTTGTGGTAATGAAACATTGCTTTCAAAATGTCCTGAGCCCTTTACTTTCCTATGGACAACTTCACTATTTTGGTGGAAAGGGGTTGGGTAGGGAGGAGATGAGCATTTAAAGTTTGAAATAATATAATTGTCTGTGACTTTGCCAGTAAGAAGGCAGTTAGGGATTTACTTTTGAGGTACTGGTAGCTGAATTATGAAGTTATGCATAAAAATTCCCTTAACAGCAAAATTTTCCAATTTTCATTTTGACTAGGTATGCTACTAGAATAGCTCAGCATGTTAAAAATAACCTCAAGTGAGCTATAATTTTGGTGGCTGGACATTCATTATTCATTTACTTAAAAAGATGAAGGAACAAGAAAAATTCCTTGGTAAATCAATCTAAAATACTGCCAATTAATTTGATCCCATGGCATGTAAAATCAAAGGACAGTAGGTGAACTAGCAAATTAGTGAAAAAGTCAGCCTCTTACCTCTTGGAGAACTCTTGTATGCGAAGAGATAGTGTTTCCCTCAACTCTGTGATGTAATGCTAGTAAATACAACTTGGTTTTTTAGAAAAGAAGTTGGTTAAAACATTGCATCAGAGGTTTTAAAAGTTAGTTCCAATTCAGAGAACCATAGAAATTAATGTGAGGGAGCCATACAAATTTATACTGGCCTAAAAACCTGGGTCCTAACAAATCATTTACACTTTGAAAGATAAATAAAAAGTTTGTCTCAGGCCTTCCTGGTGGCACAAGGGGTTAAGACGCAACCTATGAAGCTGTCCACAGCCACTGCAGCACGAGTTCAATCCCTGGCCAGGGACCTGCCCACATGGCGCAGCAGACCTCTACTGGCTCGCCCACTGCTCCCCCTCAGCAGTGTACTTCAGTCAATTTGCTGGTTCTGTTCCCCATTCTGTCTTTGGTGAATCCTCTTACCCCCCATACCTCTGGCCTGTACCCCAGTTCTTGCATGCATAAATAAATAAATCTTTTTAAAAATTGTCTCATATGCAGTTTTCCTCCAGGGTCTAGGATCTGTGTATTTGCACAGGAAATAGACAATAAATGACATATTTAATAACTAATTCTTCTGATATGTTAAAAATCTGTAACAGTAGAAACATAGTCTTTATTTCTTATGAAATGAGATTCAGAGAGAATTTACACAAGAGATAACCCTTTTAGAATCCTTCCTCAAACCAAATTTAACTTTTATGGCTCCCACATTAACTTGACTATAAAAATGGATGAAATCTATTCATGTTGGCCACCCTTCCACCCTTCCTTAGGACATTTTAAATAGAGAAGTTGGATATATTGACTCAGAGCTTTCTATCTAAATTATTTAAATTATCACTATTATTTAAATATTATGATAGCTAACAATGATCGCCTCCTATATTCCTGGCTCTGTTCTAAGCTATGGATACTCAATATAAACTTTATAGTATCCCTGAAAGAAGGCATTGTCATCATCTCACTTTAGAGATGAGGTAACTGAGGCATGGAGAAGTAGTTTGCCTGAAATCAAGTAGTAAGTAATCAAGCAAAAGGTAAGTTGTTAGTTAGTATGCAACTATCCAAGCTATCATAGTATATATCTACACACACACACACACACACACACACATACTATCTCATAGTATATGTCTATATACATAGTTATATGTGTATAGCTTAGGTAGTTGGTTATTATATATATGAATATAGTTAATAAGTTACATTTGGCTCACCAAAACATATCTGGGTGAGGGCAGGAGATACTGGCTCTAGACGTGACAGTAAAAAACTATGTGGTGAGAAAAACCCATAGGAGATTGTCTCCAAAAGGGTGGGACACTGCTGTG